GCTGAACCTCTATGTGTGTCTCCACATGCCCAACTGCCTGCAGTCACGTCCCTTCCCTGTCAGTCTCTGAACCTGCCTTCTGCATCACCCAATGCATTTTAGACTCCACTATCAAGCTGGCAGCCTCTTTCTCCAGCCTAGTCTAACACAACTGCATTCTGCAGGCTCCAGTTGCTCAGAAGCGACCGGGCATCCACCTCCCAGCCCCTGGAACTGCCCAGATCTGGCATCACACAGATTTCTGAAGCAGCAGCTCACAGTACCCTGGCGCCTCTTCCTACAGCCTCTGGTCAAGCCTGTAACTGCATTTGTTAAAAGAATGAGTGTAATTCTGTGCAATTTATCCCTCCTTCTCCACCTAAAAATTCTCAGGCAGATGAGGCTGGGAAGGAACAAATCCTCTGGATGACATGCAGCAAGGCCTTAGCTCAAGACTGCCCTCCCCGGTTGGTATGTTCAAACACGCGGTAAGAGGTATTTAGTACAGCCGAACCCGTGTGCACCTCCCGCCACGGGACAGTCTTACTCTCGCCTCGAAAAGATACGTGCGGGGCCCTGGGAAAAACAGGAGCTGACAGGCAACGCTAGTTCCCCAAACATGGGTACCTTGGGCAGCGGGCAGAATCCTGCAGCCAGTGCTTAGACATACAGGTCTCGCAGACTGGTAGTTGCGATGGGGCCAAGCTGCTCAGCACCGTCTTTCAAAACTAGGCAAGACTAAGTTACAGAGGTTTGGGAATCTACAGCAATTTACAAATTAACAAGTTGGATACAAATAACACAGTGAGTAAACCCAACAAACCGCTTGCTGTTTCTTGTATAATTTTAGGTCAGATTGTACTCAAAACCCTCCGAGGACACCTGCACAGCGACCCCCCATGTCACTGAGGATGTGGTACCTGACAAAGCAGAGAGGCTGCGATCAAGCAAGTAAAACTGGGCAAAGCTATTAACTGCACTGAAATAAGGCTCACAGGACAATCCAAAAAGCACAGCTAGCACTGCACAAGGAGGAATGGCAGAAGGTTTGGACAGGAACACAAGCAGCACATTGGAACGAAGGGCAAGCGGAAGGGTTACATCCTTCCTCGTGTAAAACCACAAGCTGTGCACTGCTGCATAGTGTTTCATGCAGGAGTATGCTTTTGCATGCCGCTAAATATCAAAACAAACAAGCAGGAGAAACATTCATCAAGCGCTGTACAGACACCGCAGAGGCATTTCCAAAATTCCAAGTATAGGAGCAGGCACCCTGACCAATGCAAAACTCATTGTTCGAAGACTGAAGTAATACAATGAAAGAATAAAGGATAGACCATTCAAAAGGAGCAGAGAAGAAAAAGTTTTCAGAGAAGCCAC